TAAAACAAATCTATTTTAATAAATAAAAATTATTAATATTAATATAAATGTGCCTACCTTACCACCCATTATTTCGACTTTGAAGCCCCATTGGACATTTTCTAATTATATTTTTTTTCCAGTGCCAATTACTTTTCTATTTTATTTAGGCATTTGAATGGATTTCTTTTTCAGCCGGACATTTGAATAAATATTTCTACTTATACTTCTTGAACAAATTTATTTGAAGGCCTGTTTTTGCAGTTGATCATAGAAGGTCTAGAAAATTATGCAAATGTTGAAATAATTTTTTATGTAGAAAAGCATTTTATATATAAAATTTTGAAAATTTCTGTATTACATATATTATTTTGAGAAAATTATATTCTAAAACCAAGGAGAAGAAATAATTAAGAAGGACCAAATAAAATTAATTATATTTCATGACCTTCCGTATCACTCTGTCTATTTTCTACCCACAGCTCAAAGTCCTGTGCGCTTGCGAGCTTTCCTCCCATTTCCCTCCCCTGCGGCGACCTCACCTTCTCCATCTCCTCGATGTCCTTCCGTGACTGTGATTTCGTGGGTAATTCATAATCGCATGAGATGTGCTGCAGATTATTGAGCGCAAGATTGATTCATGCGTCGAACCTTTCGGTATTTAATCTAAGTCCTGGGTTCCCACATCTTTGGTCTCAAACTATTGCATAAAAATCATGACTGTTGATCCCTAAAACCTTTACCCAAATTGTAGAGAGTTCAAAATCTTCAGATTCTAATGGGTGAACCCGTTTGGGCGTTCTGTTGAACGCCCAAGTGTGTTTCCCTGGCTTTGAAGATGAACCAGGTGATCTCATGGCTACACTAGTCATCCTCCTCAGGATCAATGAATTCCTTCTCTACTCTGCGCTGACACTCGCCAAGGCCCTAATTAGCCTCGCATTTGTTGTCTTCGTTTGGTCTAAATCCTGGCGACTCAGTCATCGTCAAACTTGTCGTGGCAAAAAAGGGGGGTAGCGGAGAGGGGCCGCCGACGACGGCTGAGGAGGCCGGGAAGAGAGGAAAAGATGTTGGTCCTTGCTATTTGCGATTGCGAGTGCGAGTGCGAGTGCTTCAGGTAGGGTAATCATAGTTTGGTTTTTCATTAAAATTATATAGCATTAATTGTTTTGATTATTTTAGTGGTAGAATCAAAATAATATTTCTGATATTCATGTCATTATTTAGATTTTTTAATTTTAGTACAATTGGATATGGTTTTATAATTTTTTAATCCTATTAAAGCACTTAAGTGAACTAACAAATTTTTCACAAAATCACTTAAAAATTATTTTTTAGCATAAAAAAGTTAAATTATTTTAGCATTTATATTTGTCAAAAATTTTTTTAATTATTTTAGCATTATATATTGTCAAAAATTCTTACATTTAGAAATTTTTATTCAAAATTTTCATTAATAATCATATATAATTTTTAATTCTCGATTTTATAATGCATAATTTACTTTTCCCTTAAACTTCTATATAAACATCTTTATTTGTTAAAGTATTTGCACAAAGTTATGAATAATTTACGAATACAAATACCACATTAATGTTATGTTAAATAATAATTTCCTCATTTTGCACCCCGTATGATAGGAAAAGAATTTAAAAGAAGAAGGATTTCAAGTTTTTTAAGTTCTGTGATTGAACGTTGCTATAATATTTAATGTCGCACAACTAAAATGAGATTTATTACATTTTTTATGATTGTAAAACAACTACATATCCCAACATTTTAAGTGATGTCTATATATAATTAAAGAATATTATATTAATAACATTTTTATCTTCACACTGATTTTAGATTATTATGAAAGAAAAGTTTTATTTCTATCAAGATTAAATAAAAATAAATTTAGTAATTCAATCATATTATAAGTAAATACTATGTTAAATCAGTTAAATTAAGATTATTTGTGAGCGTGTATGTGACATTTTTAGGTAAAATTTACATCAACAAAATACGAGAGAGATGCTGAGCTTATAAGAGACTAAAAACTATTACTGAACAACTTGAGTTTAAGTATTTTGGACCAGTGGTTCAAGCTTAATAAGTTGTTAGAGTCAGAGTATTCGGATCGTTACAAATAGTATGAGAGTCACTCCACGTGTAACCTTGAACGGTGGTGGGGCAAATCTCAAGAGAACGTTGAGTCTCAAAAGGGGGTGTCTGTGACATTTCAAAGGGGGAGTGAGTGTGTGACACTTTTAGGCAAATCTCACATTAATAAATTATAGGAAAGATGCTGAGTTTATAAGAGATTAAAATTACTACTGAATAACTTGTGTTTAAGCATTTTGGTCTAGTGGTTCAGACTCAACAAGTTGTTAAGGCAGTAGTACTCGGGTGGTTACAATATTATAAAAAAGATAACATTAGAAACAAATAATAAGAATCATATGGAAATAAATGAAAAAGCAAAGTTTGCTTAATCAATTTAACATGAAATTTCAATCAACTTAATTTCAAATTTTATCATTATTTTAGGGTCTAATTAACTTATGCATAATATTAATAATTTAATAAAAACTTATAATTTAATTATTTAAAAATTTAATTATTTTACATATAATATAAATAATTTAATAATTATTATAAAATAAATTAGTAGAGTATGGTAGTAAAAGGAAGATTTCATTCTCTAGTAAATATACAAAAATAAGAAAGTTACCTTGTAAGAATATGATATATATTAAAATTTTTTTATATTTTTAATATCTAATATTTGTACTTCTTTTTTTTTTATACGAGTTACTAACCTTTTAATTTATTTAGTTTACTATTAAATTGTCTTTAATACTTAAAAATTTAATTGTTTAATTTAATATAAATAATTTAATAAATTATTTTATATGATATTGGGTTTAGTATTTTTTTTAATAATTTTGAATTCATAGAATATAAACTGTATTAAAATATTTAATATATATTACTCAATATCAAAATTTTAATTTTTTTTAAAAAATCTATGTTTGGACATGATTTGCTACAATCGTTTTAATATAATTTTGAAAATGAACGGAGGAAGAGGGGAATGCGAGGGGACTGTTGGAAGTAGAGAGAGAGAGAGAGAGGAGAGAGAGAGAGAGAGAGAGGAGGATTGCAATTTGCAAATGGGATGCTAGAAAGGAAACACATGTGGCAGCACGTGTGCCTTAATCGAGGCACTTGGTGAGTTGAGTAATTGAACAAATTGAAGTCAGATGGCCCAATGAAAATAAATAATAAGTTGAGGACCAACATTGTAATTTACCATTTGGTCCAAAAGATATGTTTTTTTTCCCTTTCTTTTTTATAATAATTATAATTTTCCTTTCTTTTGGGAAAATTATAATTTTATTTCTTTGACCACCACACAAGAAAACAATGGCCCACTTCCATTTATATTTTTATTTCCTTTGGAGCTTAGGTCATGGGATACGTCGAAAATTAGATTAAGCGAATTTGTGGCTCGGCAGCGGTCGAAACCGTGCCATTTCAGGTAAGCCATCTACCAGCCATGGGTCCGACCATTTACAGCACTTTGCGCTCCCCCGTCCCCCTGTTGCCCTCTCTCCCGTTGCTGTGCAGCCGCCTAGGTATTGAACAAAACACGGTTGTCTGGGGATAAGACCAACGGCACACGGAGTCACCGACTCATCTATGATCAAGGACGGTGGTGGCGGCGTCAGAGGTTGAGAAGGTGTCTCGGATGCATCATCGTTCCTTTCGCTGCAGAAAATGCTTGGAACGACCATAGTGCAACTCTTGCGCATGTTATTCCTTACCCTTCCCATTGAAAATCAATCGTCGCCATGTCTAGGTCCGTAATTCTCGGTTTCTTTTAGGATTTTTCTGTATTCCATTGCCTTGTTGATTCCACGATGTGTTCGCGACTTTAACTTATGGTTTTGTTCTAGGGCCCTTGATCCCATCCCTTTTCTCCGGGTTTTCCAGTTTTGGTCATTCGGACTCTTTATATATTTTTGTTTCTTTCGTAATTTCCAGTTATGAGTTGCTTGTCCAATCTCCCAATATGAACTGGATTATAAATGGTTGTAATAAAATTTTGGAAAGAGGTAACAAATTTGGCTGTACTGTTGTTAATTGGTTCAGTAGAGATCGCATTAAGTGAATTGGAACATGACTACAACGAACATAGTCCTATTCTCGCATGAAATTGGAGATTCAGAATTTTCTTGGAAATTGTTCTTCGCTCAGCTGAATGGCATAAATTACTTTTATATATACATGTGCATGAATGTAATTGTAGAGATTTGAGAGAACCCGAGTCATTTTCACGCTGAATGAAGAAGGAAATTGATTATTTGCCTGCTTTGGTTTCTACCACCTGTAATTATTCTGTGCACAATATCTCTTCATGCGGCATTATTGCTGAGTCGAGAAAAGGATGCTTTTCAAGGTGTGCTTAGTGTCGAAGCATATTATATAACTTTCCCCAAAATGGAGATTATAGCATTGAAAGATTACTTTGTTAGTTAACTTTCTTTTTTTTTTTTTTTTTTGGGGGGGGGGGGGTGCTAATTTTTAAAATTTTGCTATATATTAAGGATCTGAATACCTATGAAAATAAATAAATAAAACTAAGATGTTCTGATATGTATAATGCTTAAGTAAAGCTTCATTCTTCATGTTGAAAACAATCTTTAATGATGTAATTGATGGTATATAGCTTGTGGTGCAGACTTTTAACTTTTGGTAATATTAGGAGGATTGCAAATTCCATTCGTTTTAACCAAAGGGGCATCTGTTCAGAAGGAATAAAGCATGGGGCGGTTGCTACGGCTGGGCTATTCTCCCCTAGATATAGATTATCCTATCAATATATTTTTTCTGACAGGGGGCATACTTCATTCATGGCAAGCAGAATTAAGCAGAGTTTTTGGAGAGGTAGTGTCTCCAGGAATATATCTGTCATCCCTGCAAGTAATAGAGTGGCGCATCATGCCCAAGTTGCGTGGAGGAGAATTTCACAAATGTCTCTTCACAGTTGCCAGACGTTCCCTCGCATAAGTTTGATTGCCCAAGCTGTTAGCTTGGCGTTGAGCCGCTCTTATCTGATAGTTCCTGGTATATTTGGTTTGACATGTGGCAATTTAGCTTTGGCACAAGCTTCAGTTGACACTGACCCCTTCCATACGAGGAATAGTTTATACATGCATGCAGAAGATGGGCATGCATTTGTGACCTCGTTAATAGTTGCAGTATTTGAAGGACTACTCTTGTTGCTAAGAGCGCTTTATTTGGCAGTGTTGTTCTCACCATGCATGGTGATGGCTCCTTTTGCTGATTCTTTTGGACCTCGGTTTAGAAAAGTGTGGCTTCAGGTAGTTCATCGTACACTTGAAAGAGCTGGTCCTGCATTCATAAAGTGGGGCCAATGGGCAGCCACACGGCCAGATCTTTCCCTAGAGACCTATGCAATGAGCTAGCAAGGCTTCATAGCAAAGCTCCTGAACATAGCTTTGCCTACACAAAAAGGACCATAGAACGAGCTTTTGGCCGTAAGCTTTCTGAAATTTTTGAAACTTTGAGGAGGAACCTGTAGCATCTGGAAGTATTGCTCAAGTCCATCGAGCTTCTTTGAAGTATCGTTACCATGGAAGACAGATCAAGCCCATTGTAGTTGCAGTAAAAGTTAGGCATCCTGGTGTTGGTGAAGCAATTAAGAGAGATTTTGAGATAATTAATATAGTAGCAAAGGGTTCAAAACTCATCCCTACTTTGAATTGGTTAAGACTGGATGAAAGTGTTCAGCAGTTTGCAGTTTTTATGATGTCTCAAGTTGACCTTGCAAGGGAAGCTGCCCATCTGAGCCGATTTATTTATAATTTTCGGCGGTGGAGGAATGTTTCTTTTCCAAAGCCAGTTTATCCATTAGTGCATCCTGCTGTACTGGTCGAAACTTTTGAGCATGGGGAAAGTGTCTCGCACTATGTTGATGAGCTTGAAGGACATACTCGGGTTAAAAGTGCCCTTGCACATATTGGAACTCATGCACTTTTGAAGATGCTTCTGGTATGATGTTTAGTGTTTTGTTTCTGACGTGTAGTAATTATTTGTAATTGACCTTTTTGTGGATGCCTTATCTATTTTCCATTTCGTTTCCATCTTTATTAAGATGTTGATCAATGGGATGATGACGGTATAACAGTGCTTAAGATTTGCATAAAGTCATATCATGTGAATTTGAAATACTAGCTTAACCATTTGGTAGATCTTGATATCTATCTTCTTCTTGCCTATGAATGTCAGTTGCAGGAATCTGTGATAGCACTATTTGTAATGCCTAAGTTCTAATTTTAGTGAATATAGATCACCTTGTATGGAACAGAATTGAATCCAAATGAAAGCAGGCACAGGATAATTTATGTTTGTTCAAAGTGGGATAACGCTGTATTAAACTGACTTAGAGAAATTATTATAATCTCCACAACTTGAAATGGAAAATTATGAATCTTTGAAAGAATTTGGATGTTGTACCATTCTATTTGCCTTTACTTCTGTATGGCTAAAACAAAATGCATAGGACAAGAATCTGGACTGTATACCCATAGAAATAGATACTCTTTCACTTGCATGACCATCCTTAGGTGTATGGCTTGATGTTTTTGTAAAGTTTTCTGGAATTGGTTAAGCTTATCCTATAACCTGAATTCTGGGAACTTGTGTTGCCAGTGGTGGGCAACAATTTGGATTTTCTCCTTATCTATCTACCAGTGGACACGTGTATATGTTGTAATTATGGCCTAAAACTATCACTGTTCTGCTGTTCCATGTTGAATGCTATAGGGGTTGTTGGTTATCATTTTTGTCAGACATGCATTAAACTCATCTGAGCACCAAGTTACCTTGTCAAATGTGATTCATGATTTATGGATTATTTCAACAAGGATTTCGTTTAAATTCAAATTTGAATAAATGCATGTCCAGTTTGCACATGTTGTAGAATTTATAGAATTTGGTGCATCTGACTGCTTGACAGTGACCATATATCTTGTCATCTGTAGACTTAGATTCTTGGATGGAGTGGTTTCATGAGAAATGATGAGAAAGGGAGAGAAATGGTAGGGTTTGTCATGTTTGGATAGCTTAAGTGGTGATAAATGATGAGAAGTAGTGAGAGTTGATAAGAAATAAAACCTTTCTAAAATGTTATTTTTGTTTCTTACCAAAATTGGTGTTATTTAGTGAAAAATGACTCTATCTTGTTGAATTTTTTATATTATATCCTTCTAAATACAAAAGTACAAATTAAATAGGAGGTCAATTTAGTTAAACCACTCTTCATTTCTCACATTTTTTCATATTGCAGTTTAAATAATACAGAATGAAAACCAAATCATTTATTCTCTTTTCTTGTCTCAAATTTAATGAATCATTTCTTTATTTTCTTTTCTCATATTTCTGTCCAAACATACTCATAGATTTAAGAGTGGATGATGCAATCCCTCAACGTAGCATTCCTAACATCTGGTACCACAGCATGGGTTTTTGCTGTGAAGTTATAACTTTGTCAACCATCACATGATATGAAACAAACTTGTGACATTTCATAGCATTTATAAAATCCTGGATCACACCATGGTTTTTGCTGTGAAAACAGAACTTTGTCAACCATCAGATGATACGAAAAAACCTGTGGCATCTCAATTGCATATGAGGGAGTTTAGAAGTCTAGTGCACCTTGATTTGATGATTTATTTGGTGTTTTTGACATTTGATTCATGGTTTTTTGCTGTCAATTCAGAACCTTGTCAACCATCAGATTATATGATATCAGGTTTGAGTTTAGAGGTCTAACATGCTTTGGTTAATCGTGTTATGGGTCGGTCTGCTTTGACATTTAATCCAGAAAATATAGGCATATCTCAGGCTGTGAATTGCTATTAGGCAAATAGACATCGGAGGAAGTGAAGAAAATTGTAAGCACTATCATTGTGATATAAAAACTGAAGGGCGGCTAAGCTAACCCTATGTATCCTTTGTAGTTACATGACTACTGCCTTCTGTTCCATAAAATGTATTTTGCACTACAATGTATCAAGAAAAAAAACTTCATGATAAATGATGGGGTGCATTTGGTAAAACTCATAAGTTACCCTGTCACCTTTTGCTTTCTAGGGGAAATGAAATCTAATGGGGCAGAAGGTTGAAATAGTCACCTGATGTATTTCCTGCTGCAAAGAGTAGAAGCAAAGGGGTCTTTTAAGCTTATGCCAAATCTTTCTATATTGGATGGCACAATGTTAGTATTGGTTTAAAGATAAACCCATTTGTTGACTTTATATGTTGGTTCAAGAGCATTAGAGAACAGATAAGCCATTTTGGTTTCCATTCGATTGTCCAAACAAGAAATCATATAGATCTCTACGGGGTTTCAATATTATTAAAAAAAGAAAGAAATAATTAAGTAATATGTTGGTTATATTCATGTATGTCAAAGTTCTCACCTGTGCATTATTCATCCATTTTGGTGCTGAATTTTGCTATGAAATAGTTGACTTGATGTTGTCACTTACGAGGAGGATATAGTTGAGTGTTGGCGGTATCTTAAAATTTCATAACAAGAACTCTGTTGGATGTGCATCCTTTATCCCCATGATGTCAGCTTTTACTTAGAAATGGTTGAAAAGATTTTGATATTTTTTTGAAGATTTAATTATTAAAAGGCATTTGATTCATTTAGTTTTTGGATCAAAGTTTACGCAGGTGACATTAGATTTGGATGTGTCATGGTGATTGGGATGTGTCATGGTGCGGTGCTTCTTCTAAATTATCAATGGAACATAATTTTCTATCTGAATTCCTTGCAACCTTTCCTCAGCATGGGGCAACCTCTGTGCTGTTATACATTTAAGTCCATTTTTTATATTGTAATATTATATATTTGTTTGTCAGTTTTCTCTGAGCCATCTGTTATGGGAAGATTAGTTTCTCTTAGCTGTCTAAACAATTAATGAGATAGGCTTTTGATATCCAAGCTGTCTCCTCCTCACTCAGGTGGACAACTTCATTCATGCTGACATGCATCCTGGGAATATCCTTGTTCGGGTGGCTCAAACCAAGCCTTCTCGGAAACAGCTGTTTAAATCTAAGCCGCATGTCATCTTCCTTGATGTAGGCATGACTGCTGAACTATCTAAGAGCGATAGGGTAAATTTGCTGGAATTTTTTAAAGCTGTTGCCCGCAGGGATGGTCGCACAGCAGCTGAGTGCACGCTTAGGTTATCTAAACAACAGCAGTGCCCTAACCGTGAGGCTTTCATTCAGGTTAGTTAGAGTGTACTTAAATAGATTTCTGGATTTGGTTTGTAATTTGTAGGTGGTTGTTCTGGTATATAATTATTTTAACTCAATTTCATTTTCTTATTAATTGCCTGTTCCACATAGGAAATAACCTTTCTTAACATCTGGTTTGTTTCATTTGGTGCACTACTTTTACTGATGCTTCTTGACCTCTTCCATAAATATCTTATTGTTATAGGAGGTGAAAGAGTCATTTGATTTCTGGGGTACACCAGAAGGTGATGTTGTTCATCCTGCTGAGTGCATGCAGCAACTACTTGAGCAGGTTAGGCGTCATAAAGTCAACATTGACGGCAATGTCTGCACAGTGATGGTTACAACTTTGGTTCTTGAGGTAGTTACTTCTCTACTTCCAGTGCTAAATATTCTCAGATGTAATATGAAAGCAGAAGAAGAAATTATATGATGTTTAGCTGCCTGCTGGTTTAATTTTCAGTAGGTTAAACATGAACTGGCCCATTTTTTGAGGTTGGATCTCCGGGTTCCTTGAAGACTACTAGATATTTACAACCCCACCACCCCCCCCAAAAAAAAACCCCAACTCCAACCTCACCCTCCATTTTTTCCTGTTGCAAGTCTTTCTATCTGGCACTGTGGTATTTTGGTAATTTCATCTTGGGCATATATCTACATGTACAATGTGCCTAGCCAGCATTTAGACTAGGGCTTCATTATCTTCTTCTTTTCATCTATACTCTCCAATTACATGGTATAGAGCCAAAATCTATGTCACTTGTTTTGGTTACCATCAATTGATCTTCTTTCTATAGTGACACACTGGGCATATATAATGTCCATGCTCCAACTTTAGGAGAAGTGTTCTAGTCTTTTTATCCAGCACTAGGGGTACTTCACTCATTTTAACTTATACATATGTTTATAATACAATGTGCCTGCCCAGCTTTTAGGTCAAGGCTTCACAATCTTCTTCTCTTCTCATCTTCTTCCTTTTTTTTTTTTTTTTTTTTTTTTTTAAATATGTATATATAATTTACAATTCCACTAAAATTTACCTGAAAAAGGTTTACTTCTATTGGCTTTTTTTCTTAGTTCTTTCTTGCTTCTAGCATTTGGGAATGTTAGGGCAATGCTATTTGCTTTTGATTTTGCTGTGATAACTTCTCTTTCACAAAAATTTTGGCAGTCATCTGCTAGTTTTTGCCATTTTATGAGTTAGGCAGCCAGTTATGTTACTATACTCCTACATGTTAATTACTAGTTCTAATTGTATCTTCATATCAGCTTCTGCCCTTTTTTCTTTTTTGGGACAATGATAAGCTTCCATTTCAAAACATTTTATATGAACTAAATGTGTTGTGGCAAAAATTGAAGTTCAGTGGGCTTATGAAACAGTTCGGAAGGTGTTTAACTTCCGATAGTTTCAGTTGGACAAATCGATAAATTTATTGGTTGATTATGAGATGTTTTTGTGGATACGAGGAACATGCCTATCACTAGGTTGAAGGTAGGGAGAGCACATCTGTTGGCTAGTACCCTGACTTGTAATTTCTAAGAATGTATTAATTTGTGGCTAGTATCATGACTTGTAAATTTTAAGAAATTGATTAGTTTGCAATTTTTCTGTCATTATAAAGGTTTAGGCATTATGATCTTGCTAATTTCCCCTGTATTTTTTGTAGGGTTGGCAGCGAAAGCTTGATCCAGATTATGATGTGATGCACACGCTACAGACATTGCTTCTTAAATCTGACTGGGCTGAGTCCCTCTCATATACAATTGAAGGTCTTATGGCTCCTTGAGAAAGTTTTGTCTCTTGGCGTTTCAGTAATAACAATTTTGTACTAGTAAAACTGACTGATTTGTACATCAATCTAGAGAGATGAACTACTACTAAGCTTCTTACATCTATTCCTGTTTCTTTTGGCTGGCTTGTGTTGTGCCTGGCTTTCAATTTTTTCAAGGAAAATTTTGTATTCAAAACACCGTTGTCCCTCAGAAAATTATTTTTACTCTTAGCCTTTGAGAAGAGACGAGTAAATAAGGAGAAAAAGAAAATAAAGACCTGAAATTCTTTTTTTTCCTTTGTGCGTTGACCTTTCGGTTAATTTTACCCTTTGTAGGGGAACTGTTGAATTCATTGATATTTTTGTTCGATATATTTCTCTATGTTGGTGGGAATACTTTTGGTTGCTGCAACTCCTAAAAATTCATTGAAACTGTCAAATTCTTAATCAAATTTCTGGAGACCGAATGAAAAGTTGAGTACTTGCTTCTTAAGAGACGAACAAATGCTTGTAGCATTGTTTTCAAGGCCAAATTGGATCTTAAGAATTGATTTAACCTGAGTTAAAAAATTAATTATTTGTGTATAATATAAATAGTTTAGAATAAATAGTGAAGAGAACTGATATTTGTATTTACATATCTTCTCATGCTGTACACAAGTATAGTGAGTTCAGGTGTTTTGTGCTTGCAACTAAGTGCAGTGGTTCAATATAAAAAAGAATCATCTAATTTGAATGGTTTAACTTGAATTAGTCTGATTGAGTCTTTGGATTTGTAACTAACCAGTTTCAATAGTGGTTTAATTAAAAAAAATTGTCTGGTTCGAATGATTTTACCCGGGTCAATCAGATTGGCATGAACTTCTCTGTCTGACCCAATAATACAATGGACCGGTCGGTCCAAGTTTGTTATTGTCATAGTACGCGCCTGTTACTGTTGTGCAGTTTTAAAATCGTACCGTCCATGATTGCAGGTGATCGAAACGTTTGAAGCTCAGGACATAAAGATTCAAACTAAGTTATAGAGGGGAGGTTGAGTGGTTACATATTTACACCCAAATAACAAAATAAAAGAAAAAACTGTGGAAAAGGACATCAAACTCCCCACGAATGTACATCAAATACAGAGAGTTGCATATATACACTTGTGACAACCCAAGTTTATCTCCTGCGAAGAAAAACTTTTCCTTCTGCCTCCTGGTGCATAACGCGCAGCACCTCACCGGGAGGGACGTTCCTCCAAACGTGAGGCGTCTTCAGATGATGTCCCAGCTGGGCAAACTTATCTGCTGCTCTGTTTCCTTCTCGGTAAACATGAGTTACCATGCACTTGTTCAGCTCCAGTATCATCACGTTTATCTCCCTCACATGTATCTCAGCCTCAGATCTCACGACATTTACCTTTCTCTTTGCAATCATTTCAACCAAGGACTTGGAGTCCCCCTCCAGCCACACGTCATTCCACCCGTTCTCTAGGACCAGTTCCAGGCCTCGCCGAAGTGCCGCCAGCTCCGCCACCGTGCTGGTGGTGCGTCCGATGGGCTCCGCGTATCCTAGGAGGAATTCAGCGTTGTGGTTCCGAAGGATGCCTCCTATGCTTGATTTTCCGGTTTTGCATTTGCACGAACCGTCGTAGTTGAGCTTTGTCCATCCTATTTCCGGCTTTTCCCATGTCACCTTGATTGGTTCCTTGTGCCAGTTCCTGACGATGAGAAGCCTAACTGGGTTCCGCATTAGTCTTTCACAGTTCATGATTTTTGACACGGTAATAAGCACCATTTTTGCTATGCTTTTTCTTCGGTTGATCACTAATTTCTTTTGCAGAATACAGTTATTTTGTGGATTGACAGAGAAATTAAGCCTTTAGATGTACAACAGGGGTTGAAGAATGTACAACATATATGCATACTTACCAACAAAATAGATATGCAGACAAACTGAAAAGTAATGTGGGAAAAATCAAATAATTTGATCGAGAATTTTCCATCCAAAGAAAATGTAAAAGTAGAAAACAAAATTATTGTTCAAAAGAAATGGCGATGAAAAATGGAGATTAAGCCGAAAGCGTTCACGCCGATGAGCTTCTGAAATGAATTTGTACAGGTTGAGTGGGAAGAAGGCAAGATGATTTAATAATACCAAAGCAACAAGGAAGGTACTTCGTCGCCCAGAAGGATTAAAATGATGAAGAATATTCTCTCTCAAAAGGGTTTCCTTCACGTAATAGTTTCATGGCCACTGCATGAATAAATATATAGACAAGGGTTTTTGGTTGACAGAGCAGTGCACGCATTCGTTCACATGACCGTTGAAACTCTTTAACGGTCAACTTAACCGCTTCCGTGGCAAGGAAAATACGTAGCCGACACTAATTTAAATTTGGAAACTGATTAACTCTTCATTTTATCCACAGGTAAAATGGTAGTTTAACCAAAAAGTCAGGAGGGGCTATATGTTGATTGAGGTCCAAGTTTCTTTTCGTTTCCATGCAAGGTACGTAACCCGCCTCCGCTGCATTATTCATTTTAGTTTCTTTTCTCCTTCTGCTATTTATTTGCTGCCCCGATGAATTCACAAAAGCATACAATTATTATGCAACTTGAATATTTGAATTCACAAAAAATGGAAAAAATTTTTACTGTTTCTAACCGCGCATGAATTCTACACCTGTTTTGTTGTTTGTACTGTCTGCGGTACGCCCATAGAAAGTGCCGTATCATGGCTGGGCCAGATTAAGATCCGGGTTAAATGAGAGGGGGAGAATACATGTTTAATTTGGGAAAATTACTGGGCGAGTTTGTCTAGGTAAAAGAATTATTTGGAGGATCAAAATATAAAAAAATAAATGATTCAGAAAGTTTTTTTAAAAAATATTTACTGTAAACGATTTTTAACTTTTCAAAATACGTTCATCTTCATTCTTGCAAATCAGAGTACTCCCACATGCATGCAACTTCCCTTCCTTCTCTCTCGACCACCTGCAAGCTTGTAACCCACCCTTGCTCAGAACCTGACTACCTCCCCTACAAAAACCCCAACTTGCAAACCTGCCCTCCCTACAAACCCCCCAACACACACACACTCTCTCTCTCTCTCTCTCTCTCTTTATACACACACATATTAAATCATCAAATTTAATTCTCTCTCGCTCTCTCTCATTTCAAACCAGCACTCTCTCTCACCAAATTTGGTTTAACATTTCAGTATTTCAATATTGCCATCTTATTGTTGAATTATACATAATTCCTATGTTTTAGAATGATGTTTCTAATTATATATAATTGTACTTGTAATTTTTTGTAAGATAATGCTTGTAACTAAACAAGAAGATGTTTGTAACTAATTTATTACTTGAAACTATGCTAATAATATTAACAATATATTTGATAGATAATGTATAATGACTTTATATTATAATAGTAGTTCAACAAATATAAGAGCAAACGGATATAGAAAAAAAATAAACACATTAATGTTTACAGAATGGTACTTGTAATTATACAAAACTGTACTTATAATTTTTTACAGGATTGTGCTAATAACTAAGAAAATGCTTATAATTTGGCTTGTTGCTTGAAGCTATGCTAATAACCATGACAATATATTTTGACACACAACATAAAAGAACTTCATATTGAGACAGTAGTTTAACAAATATAAGAGTAAATATATACAAAAGAAATAAATACATTAATATTTCAAAATAATGGTTGTAAATATACAAAACTGTACTTACAATTTTTTTATAGGTTAGTGCTTGTAACTAAGTAAGAAGATGTTTGTAACTCAACTTGTTGTTTGAAATCATGTTAATAACCATGGTAATATATTTGATACATAATATATAACAACTTCACATTGAGATAGCAGTTTAACAAATATAGTAATAAACACATAATAAATAAATAAATATATTAATATTTACAGAATGATACTTGTAATTATACATAATTATGTTTGTAACTTTTTGCAAGATGGTGCTCATAATTAAGTAGGAAGAAAATTGTAACTTGACTTATTGCTTGAAATTATAATAATAACCATGATAATATATGTCACGACCCGGGCGTCGGATCCGTGACCGGCGCTAAGGTTAGAACGAATTCCAACCAGCAAGCCTATCAAACACGAAACTGAAAATTTCATCAATAATCATATTTTCTAAATCAAAATCTGAAATACGAAACAATCATCAAAACATGTCTTTACACTGAAAACCTGTTTGTGATCCAGAGCTAACTAAAAGAAACGAAACAGTACATCAGAATGAAATAGAAACTAACTACTATCTCGAGAACTGAATCAGATGGTCAAGATCGATCGACTCCTATCACGCAGCCGGGTCCATCGGTAGAGTCGAACCTGAGGCTGAAAAATAAAGGAATGAGTCTATTGACCAAGTGAATAATAATACATATTTACATGCGAGAGACGTATATCAAAACTTTATTGTCTTAAAGCATAAATTTCAATTCATACAAGTTAGGGAGTTCGACACTGAGAACCATACAGAAATAGGACGGCAAACTCATCGTATGCCGATATACAGATATCAGGACGGTGATTCAAAGTCTGCCGTAAATCAATAAACAGGCCTACCACGTCAGCCACACATGATAGTCTAGCACCACCCCTGCTAGCTGGGGATACAAGCCAAGGTGCACCCAGTCTAACGCCTACTGCCGTTAGCTACAGTGTTCTAACAGTTCAATACTCCCTTAAAATCAATTATCAGAGTTTAACAGAATAAGTTATCAGTTTTCAAGTTCGCTAAAGTATGTCAGTGTTCAAAATCAGGAGTTTCATAAGTTTTCCAACAAATCAGATAATGACGTATATGTCCCTCGTAATTTTTCTAACAATTTGATTCAAACTGAATAATAACTGAAATAATTTCAATTTATGTAAAAACAGGAATTTAAATAAGTATAACAGCAATTTAAACATATAAATATCTATTATTACTCATAGAAACCGAGAACCACGAAAATCGAGCTTCGACGATTCGGCTCCCCGAAAGTCTACCAATTAATCTAAAGATAATCAAGATATTCATTTTAGAACGTAGTATTTCTCAAAATTAATTAAAAAGTAAATTATTCTCAAAAAAACCCAACCCTATTCTTGATTTTTCATGTTTTAAACCATTTCGGGAATCTTAAAGTCTCGAATCGATCGATATAATACTGAACCGGACTTTTTACATATTGAACCGAACTTGAAACTTATTGAACTAGTGAGGAAAACCACTGAACCGAGACAAAAACTCATTAATTTAGCCTCAAAACCATTAAACCGGCATTAAACCCTTAAACCGCCCATAAAACCCATTGAACGGGCTTAAACCTATCGAACCGGCTCGAAATACGTAAAACCAGTCATGAAAATTACAGAACCAAACTTAGATTTAATGAACCAATGACTAAGGGCCCTGAACCGGCCACAAATACGATGAATCGGTGGTATTTTCAATTTTTCATTAATTTCTTAAGCATTGGACGCCCGGTTCACTATTGAACCGGCGGTTTTCACTTGAACCGGCTTGTTACTATGTGGATTATTTAATTATCTTCAAGTCAATAGCCTAAACCGGCCATGAACGGCTCAAAAAGCCTTGAACTGGGCGTTAATATAATAAACCAATGGTTTTCTAATTTATTTATATTTTCCTTTAACATTGGACCGGCCGGTTCACTATTGAACCAGCCGGTTTTCATCTGAACCGGCCTAGGGTCAGGTAGGTAATTAAATTACCTTCGTAAGGATACTTTGAACCGGCCAGGAATCGGACCGGAAGCCACTGAATCGGCCAGTTTTCCATTTTCTAGTATTTTTTCTATTATCTATTTATTTAATTCATTATTTAATTACTGACCGGGCCGGACCCAGAATTCGGATCCGATCCTGCAATCCAGAACCCATCTAATGGTCTGGGCCTGGCCCACTGGCCATGGCCCAAACCCAATATCCTCCATCCGGCCCAGCTTCATTTGGGCCGGCCCAACTCAATTAATTAAACAGGCCTAACCCAGTTTAATTGCGAACTGGGTTGATCTGCAACCCGTCGGGTTGCTTCTTCTCAACCCGGTTCCTCTTGTAATGGCCGAAATACAAGTTCAGAAATTACTTGTAAATCTCGGTCAAGACCTGTGAGGTTTCACTTAGACGAGGATCGGATTGCCAGACGATGAGGACTAATCGGTTGAATGGCTTCGAACAGCTTCAATCTGCTTGCAGATTATTGTTCAACCCGTTCGGCTTCAGCGGACCACTTCGGAACGAGCAGATGCAGAACAGAAAATTTAAACAAAAGGAAATCTGGATTTTTGAAGGCTTTAGCAATTCTCTCTCTCTCGAATGAATTTATAAGAGGTTTCCAATCAAAGCAGTTGAGATATTTTTGGATTTGATCAATTCCTGGGCGTGGCTTCGTGGATCCGGATGTTTCGGACGTTCGGATCACGTCCATATATATATATATATTTTTTAATAAATAATTTTATGTTGGGTTTTTACAATATATTTGACATACAATATATAATAACATCATATTGAGACAACAGTTCAACAAATATAGGAATAAACAGATATAGAAAATAAATAAATACATTAATATTTGTAGAATGATGCTTGTGATTATATAGAATTGTATTAGTTAATATACTTGTTACTAAGTAAGAAGATTACTTGTAACCCAGTTTATTGCTTAAACTTGTACTAGCAAATAATTTAATAACAAGATCTAAGTTGCAGGAGGCAAACTGGGGGGATTTTGGGTTGCAGGGGAGGAGGGCCAGGAGATCTAGGTTGTGGAGGAGGGTCATGGTTCTCAAGTTCAGGGGTATGCTGGGATGGGGTGCCAGGGTTTGTGGGCAAGGGAAGGGCAACCGGAGTTCATTGGTGGGGGAAGGGTGGCTTGGGGGGGGGGGGGGGGGGTTTGTTCTCATCGAGGGGTGAGTTGCAGGCTTATATGTGGTCAGAAGGAGGGAGGGGTGTTGTAGGATTGTAAGAGTGTTGTGATTCGCAAGATGAAGATAGGGACATTTTGGAAAGTTGAGAGTCCTTTATGATAGATATTATTTTTAAAACCTTGTGGGTCAATTTTTCATGTTTTGACCCTATGAGTAATGCTTTTATCCAGACTAACCGGCTCACTAATTTTCTCTTTAAATTTTGTGGTTTGATTAGATCACGGTAAAAATGTCCTTGGTAGAGCTTTTTTATATAAGCATTGTTTTTTCTTTTTATTTACCAAAATTTGATTTTTTTAAGTTATTTATCATAATGTCATCTGTTATATTATTTATCAAAATGTAATCAAAATTTGAGGAACCAACTTTCCAATTTAAGTTTTTGTTTTTCTTTATTTTGAACTGAACTGATTTTCCTTTAACACTTTTGTCTTTTTAAATCCAAAGAAGAGAAGTCGATTCTTTCAAATCCACTTCCCTTCCTTTCTTTTTTTAACACAAAATAATCTTTTGTTTATATTTTTTTCACTTTTTGGTTTTTTACAAATTTTATAGTTTATAAATTTAATTTCAATTATATATAAAAATGCTTTATATTTTATAAATCTTTATTTATAAGTTATAAAATTTAGAAAAAACAAAAAAAAAGGAAAATGAGATTGGTTGGGGAACCGACTCCAGAAGGGAGTCGATTCTCCCAATTTTATTTTATTTCTTTTTTTTTAGATTTTATAATTTATAAATTTAATTATAAAAAATATAAAAATATTTTATATAAGTTTTTATATAGATTAAATTTATAAATACTTATATTTGCAAAAAATAGAAAATTAAAAACTAAAAAATGTAATGAAGTTCCCTTCTTTAATTTATAAATCTAAATTGTAATGATGAACTGATTCCCCTTCCTTACATTTTTTTAGTTTATATTTTTTATTTTTTTATTTTTCTAAAATTATAAATTGTAAATTTAATTTATAAATAAAAAAATAAAAAAACTTATAAAATATTAAGCTTTTTATTTTTATTTATACATAAATTTATAATTATAAAATTTAGAAAAAGAGAAAAGAAAAAGAATAAAAATTAAAGAAGGAAAATCGGCCTCTTAGGTATTAACAAAAAAGAAAAAAAAAAAAGCAAGGGAAGTCTGTTCCATTTTTTTTGTGTTTCACAAGAAAAGAATAGTGTTGAAAGGAAATCAGTTCTAAGAGAACTGATTTTCCTTTGGTTCAAAAAAAAAAAAAAATCAAACCGGAAGTTGATTCTAGAGAAACTGACTTGCTAATGTCAAATTTTGATTACATTTCAGTAAATGATCTGGAAAGATCATATTTTTATAAATAATTTAAAAAATCACATTTTAATAAATAAAAAAAGACAATATGAGTATAAAAAAGCCCCCTGGTTGTTTGTGTCATTTTTTTTTTGTTCTTTTTAGATTTTAGTTTTTTGTGATGCCAATAATTATCTTTCTTTTCTTATGGTTTGATTTGATAAAAAAATTTTTTTTTTGTTGTGGAGTGTTTTGATTTACCAAAAATAATTATTTTTTTATTAAAAAACACACACAAATTCTTTTCCAATCTATGGTAAAAATATGACTTTTAATCTTCAAGTTGTTCACCAAATTTGTGAACTAACTTAAGTCAAATAGATAAAGTTTCTTTTATGTGATGTTGGATGAAAACTTATTTGGCTTGCTTTTTTTTTTTTTTTTTTCTCTCTCTCTCTCTCTCTCTCTCTCTCTCTCTTGGTGATGCCCAAAAGAATTAGTAGGGTATGTGCACATTTTTTACACAAGAATTTATTTAGCTCTAAAAAAATCTCTTAACATTTTGTACGAGTTAAGTAGGCAACAACAGATTATATAAAATGAATGGTGTAAATTAAAAATTGGAATGAGAAGAAAACAATATTAAGAAAGGAGATAATTGATCTTGTTATCCATTTTAATTAATTGCTCATCATTGTGTTGTTTATGACAATTTTGTCCTTCGTGGTCGACAGAAAAGTGGATATTCTTGCCAAAATAATTTTCTCCTGTCATTTGTCTTCCCTTTCTCTTTTCTCCACAAAATTGAAGGTCCCAGGCAGTCCAATATCGCCATCCATCTTCTTTTGTACAAAAAAATATCAGCCTTGACAACAAACAAACTTCAGTACTTCACAAAGAAATAAACACCCAAATAACGGTTCAAAAACAAGAATTGAAAATTCTATGAGACAAGCTCAGGGCAATGCATTAAATTGAAAAATTCACACAAATAAACAGATTGCTAAGTACAAGGAACAGGTTTTCTTCAACAAGATCAAGACACCGCTGGCTTCGTTTTCTCCTTCCAGATTCAGACAAGTATCCTCCCTTCAAAATGTCCCATTGCCGATAAGCCATAACCAATCAAGAGCAACCCCTGCAAATATTCCTCCAGAAGAAAAAACACCATCATGTTGCCCAGTGCATTTTGCTCGGCCCTACATGTGATAAAGAGCTCAAGAATTAGTTAATGAGGACTACTTGAACTGACAAGAAAATGAGGACCAAGATTAACTAACCTTGTAACCTTTAGGAGCTGCTGTGAGGACACAGACGGTGAGGTAACCATTTGTTAAGCCCAAGAATGACACAAGCAGTATCATCCAGCCTGGTCTCCATATTTTGCCGTGAAGTAGAAGGCAGGGATGAGCAAGAAGCGTGACAAAATTGCTAGCAACAACCCTTTCGCGATTGTAACCTGATGGATTCTATGAGGGGGATGTACCGTGCAATCAGATCCACACATTGTACATTGCTATTAGAACAAGTGGATACCTGAAACAATCAGAGGCTAATGGAATTAATTTCTGATGAATAGATGACCGGCATGTTAATCTTAAAACTGGGGTTATTGCTAGGAATATTCCAGTTGCTTTGTCATCAGCAGTTTTAAGAGAAATTCTGGAATCAATAGTGTTGCCACTGCAAAATTTGATCTAGTTTCTAGAATTCCTAGCAAGTCATACATGAAATTTGACATCTTACTGAGAGTAGCTAGAAGATACTGGTTTTTAAGAGAGCGAAGCCAAGGAACAAGGGAGGAATCCCCCTGTCTTTTTACCAAGATGAACATTGTAATGATAAAGTTCAATCATTGAGCTCGTGGGCTACTCAGCAAGTGCACTATATTCCTAAGGAGACCATGCCATTACGAATAATGCCTTGTTCCACCATTGAATCCATAGCACAAGTAAAAATACACCAATACTTCACAAAGAGAATGAAATCGGCATGTAAAAACTGTTAGTGAAGTCTCCAAAAAGAAAATTAAAATTATAAAAGCACGTCTTTGAATAGCAAAACATCAAAATGTGGTATGAAGTGAAACTTTTGGATCAATATGAATAGCAAACAAACTCATGGGAAGTGATTATAGGATAGAACGCTGGTTATTATTACTGATGCAGAATGCCTATCAAGTGTCAATTAATTATGTGAGCTGTGCTATGCCTTGAACGACAACCTACCATGAGCCCAACTGATGGGATCCGGTGTTCTCATACAGGAAACCAGGGAAAATTGATAAAGTCAGGACATATATTAAAAATATGTCTAACACATAATCTATGTTCTCAAATAACAATTCTTTGTTGCTCAACCGCTGCTGTTGCTTGCCCTTATTGTCATCCTGCAGAACAACCGGAAAAATGATATTTTAGTTTCATATGTAGGAAAATCCTTAATTATATGCAAATCTAGAAAACAGGTTGCTTCTTGGCTTGCTTCTATTTGGATGCCAGCAGCAGCAAGGTCTGCTGAAACAGTTTTTGATCCTTCTGAAGCTGCCTTTGACCGGGTAGTACTTCACAATTGATAGTTTAGGAAAGAAGAATGCATACAGAAAAATGCAGATGAACTCAAAGAATGTGGATATTGCCAGGAATAACACTGCAAAAGAACAGCAAAAGAAAAAAAATTATTACCAACAAGAATACTTACAAATGTCTGAATATTATTTCTTGTGACCTAGTTGCATTGAAATTCAAGCAGAAATCAGTAGGAAAATTTCAGGGATAGTGATAGAAAAATAATCAGTTTCAAAACTTCTTGAAACTAGCACTGTGTTTTGATTCTTGAACTTGCTGTGAAACCAAAAGGGAAAACATGATGGGACAGGAGTGAGAAAAAAACACACACATATACGCACATAAAAACAAATAACTTTATTTTCCTTCGCTTTTTTACCACCTGTGTTCCTCTTCCTCGATACACTGTCATACCACATAGACTTGTGTTTTTATTTCTAATAAGATTTACTAACATTAAACTTTTGTAAGAATAAGAATAAATATGTATATCATATACAATTAGGTAGTAAAAAAATGGAATAATTGTTAATATATTTATAGCGATTTTTAGTTCATGTTGAGGAGCTTGTGAATATGAATTAATTAGTTTGGTTGCTGGGTATTTATGTTTTTTTGATTAATTTAAAATATTCTATTTAAAAATATAATGAATACAAATATTAAAAAATTTAAACATTTTAGCCATTTTTTCAAAGTAGCAGTGTTGGACACCATGTTCATGTTCGTCTTTTTAGTTTTCATGTTAACCAGATCCAAATTAATTGCTTTAGTTTGCCCCCTTTGCTAATATAATACTAGGAAGTTTATTAGGCTATTAGATTCTAGTGGTTAGACTAATATAAAAATAAAACCAAAAGACAAACAAAATTCAATAAATATTTGTCTCAATTTCAAAAAGCCTGCAAAGAGGTAGGAGAAACATACTAGTTCCCTTTCTAAGGCCATTATGAGATTTATCAAAGGCTGCTTTTGTGATCAGCCTCAAAGCAGAGGTAAGAGCCCCAGATGCAGCTAAGCCAGCCAAGTACGACTGCAAATTCATTGCAAGAATTTTTTGAATCTAGCAAGTTATATCAAGCAGCTAAACACATAAAAAGATAACTCTGTCTAGCAAGTGCATACTTGGATGAACTCGGGGCACATGAAGGATAAGTCTCCAACCATTCCACCCTCAACATGGGCATCTGCAACTCCAAAAGCAGCAACTATCACGCATATACCTATGTAATTCCCAATTCCTCCTTTCCTGATGTTGCTAAATCCAACTGCCAAAATGAGTTAAACTCAATTAAAATGGTTGAAAATTATGGAAAGCAGGTAGTGAGTACAAAGATTCAGTTAGCATTGGCTGTACTTACAACAAGGAGAGCAAAAGTACTTAGAAAAAAAAGGGTGAAACCCGCCAAGTTGCGCCGCCTTGTGTCGATCTTTGACTCATTGTGTGCCAATATTGCCATTGTTACAAGTGCAAAGGGTTGATAAACCAGGGTAAGTACCCTTGAAGGATGGAATTTCTACAAGGTAAAAGAAACACAACATCAAAATGAATACAACTGTCAACTGCGTGGTAGAATGAAATTCTGAGAAAGACAATTGCCTTGTGGGCAGTGCAATTTCGATATACAGTGCAACTCAGGGAAAAGACGACAAAATATGACATAAAATAAACTTTCTAAAATTTAGTCCATGGAACGCAAAGATATTGGAGGGATAGGAATTTGTTGGTAATAGTAGTTTGCGCTACGGTACTTGTTCTTAATAAACAAAACATTGAATGAAATCACAAAAATATTATTATATGTGAAGAAAAAATCAGTCTGGTAAATAACTGAGCCTAAGCGGTAATGTGCTTGCAAGATCCGAAGTTTAACTGTTCACGCTCCCCTTTCCAGACTTCTTCCAATTTACCAGAGAGTGAAAAAAAAGTGAAAAGAAAAGAACAGAAAAGGATTCATATAAGTGATCTTCAGAGTCATAAAAGGATGGGAAGTTTGAAAGCAGCTATGGACTACATACCGGGAACAATATGTAGTAGTAGTCTCCTATAGTCAACATTCTGTTCATGAGACAAGGGACCCAAGTCCAAGAAACCAACAAACTACGAGGGCACTATACTTCCCTGAAATACCAAAGAATAAAGACCAGAAATTAATGCAATTTGCAAACATATTCAATTCGATCAGTTATGAAATGATGCCATGATTAGTTTTCAAGCCACAAACCCCGAGTCTAGCTGGAGGTCCACTTGCATCAGCATCCGTCATGGCTCCTTCTAAAGAAATGATTTTATTGGTGATGAATATCCCTCAGTCTAAACAGTCTAAACTTCGAATCGTGAAACGGCAGCGTACCTTTTGGAAAGTATCAAGTTAAAGCAACAAACACTAACAAGAATAATACGCAGTAATCGCTTTAAAGTAGAACTAGAACATGGAGTCCAATCGTGCAATTGGAAAATCCAACCTACGAAATCCTCGTGTCGCCAAAAAGTTGGAAACCTAATCGTTAAATTATGATTTTTCAGAGAACAAAGGAGATACCTGTTTTTGAATCGGAAAAGGATAAATATGTAAAAGGTGAATCAACACGTAGAGATGGTCACACCAAACACGTACACCATATAAAGCAGATATAAAACTTCATTTTATAAATCAAGGGACAGTGGAGACCAACGTACGGTAAGAAAAGGACTGCTTATTTGAGGAAGGGCGGAGGAAAGAAAGGAGAGATGTCGACTGCGAAATTGAAAGATATTACTTAACAAAGATTTAGAAAGAGAGAACGGACTCTGCATCCTCGATCGATATGGAAAGTATTACCTGTTGACTTTCGAAACTGAGAAAAGTTTGGACGGAGGTAGGCAAAATTTTATTAAGTAGAGGGGTTAAAAGTTTCGGTTTGGTTTTGAGTCTTTTTTAAACCAAATTGAACGTGTCGGTTAAATCTTTTTCGACCCGAGTGATTAGTATTTACAAAAAAATTAAATTAAATAAAATTAATTTAAATCAATTTGGTTGAATTGGCTTAATAATTTGATTCTCTCCCTCGAGTGCTTAATGTATATCTAGCATTAACATTTTTTTTTTTAATTTTTTGGAGGAGGGAGACAACAAAGCAAAAGAAGCTCGAAGGGAAGTTAGCCAATAACAGAAACATGGCAAAGAAACCCTATTTTTGAAGTATGTCTATCATACACATGTCCCGGCTCGCAGGCTGAGAAACCCAACTAGCAACTTGGGACCAATTAGTATGGGCAGTAGAAACCAGTTCACCAAGGACGGAAGTTTCGTAATTCGGTTCACGCTAGAAGGATGGAGACCGAAATTTTGGGCGCATAAATATAAAAAGAGAAATGCTGTTTTGCACGAAGAAATTGAATTCCGCCTAAGCAACAGTTGCCAGCTGCACCTTGTATAATAGACCAATCATGCTTTATGGCCTATAAATTAATTGGGATGGCATATGCGCTTATAACTTGTAACTAGCTTCAAGAGAAGCTTCCTATATATACACTCTCATGTAACATTAGCCAGTGGATCCCATCCACACGGAAATTTGTGTACAGAGGGAGCTGCCCTCTTTCTTTTATATATAAATAAATATATATATATATATATAAATATATGATTGTAAATTCAATAGAAGGACATTGAAAAATTATGAAATATAATTGGTTTTCTACCAACTTGAGTTTTCTTGCCTTATGAAATTTTAAATTTGGTTTCTATTGCGAAAAGAAAGAGAGAGAGAGAAAGAGTGAGAGACCTAGCAAAGGTTGGCAAGACAAGATTGAACCAGTGAGCTCTATTCAGGTTTTAAGAGAGAAAGCCGATTGTTAAAAGCTCACGAGTGTCGAGTAGAAGCCAATCTCTAGTTGGATCACGCGCGAAAAAGTTGGGTCCATCACACACACACACACACACCACATATATATGCATAATTTTTTTTAAAAAATTTGAAAATAGTTGAGTTATATATATGTCAAGGCCCCAACTCAAACCCTGACCGGCACTAGGGTCCCCAACCCTAGCCAGCCTTACCGTCACAAACAAATACCAAAACTGACCAAAACATTTATATATATTTCAAAACCGCCATCTACACAGCCAGAATCCTGCCTGAAGGATAAAGGGAGCTCTAGAGTACAAAATAGATAAACAAGGAACTCGTTGTACATCAAGGGAAGTAGCAGACGACCATCTCAATTCTGGCACGCGCCCGAGAATTGCAACCTATATCTGGAAAGTTATAATAAGTGAGTCGCGAAATTCAATGAGTATGGATGTATCTACTCTATGCATGTTCGACTATGCACCATGCCACAATTCAAACCATACTAACATATACAACAATTAATAACACATCATTTATACTCGGAAAGACATCACTAACCCCGCATCACATCACATCACATCACGTCATATCAATCCACACCACAACACTGGACCCAGGTCTACTCACCACTAGACACTATGGATCACCGTATCCCAACCGAGTTCCTGGTATCGTAGTTACCTCACCCGACCAGGGCGCTCATCACTCGACACTACGGACCGTACTCCAGCCGAGTTCTTGGAATCGCTTAGTAACTCGCCCGACCCAGGCTGCTCACCACTGCACCTTATGGACCGTACTCCAACAAGTTCCTAGCATTGCTAGTAACTCGCCCGACCCAAGCTGCTCACCACTGGACCCTACGGATCCGTACTCTAGCCGAGTTCCTGCCATCCTCACATCACATCACACAACACCATCCGCACACGTAAATCAAGAACGGGTACACATACACACCCACAATTCATATATTCCAAAATCAGTAGTACATACTAACATAGTTACTAACAGTTCACAAAACACAAACACACGATTCCAAGATTCATATATCAAACACAGTCTCGCAAATCCATGCAGATACCATGCTAGAAAACAAGTATGAAACACAGGTGTAGAGAGGGTATCATCACTCATAGTGTAGGCCAAATCTAACAAAAGCCTCGGGTCACGTCAATCAACCCTCTGGTCCCGGTGCTCCTCCATGGGTGAACCTGAAGTCAAAACCATGCAAAACCATCACCGACCTATCGTCAGTACCTAAACGGCTTGATAGCCCAAGATGGGACTTAAATCCCATTTCCGTACCTGACACGCATCCTGAGACCCCTACCCATCACGGATCCTACGTGACTCACTAACACTCACGCTTCGGCTCAACAACCCTTAACAGTAAAAGACCAGTCTTCACAACTCCAACCCATAGCGAACCGGTCTCCGAAACCCCCGAACGGCCTAACTTGATCTCAAAACTACCTTGAACTCAACTTGATTGGCCACAAAATCCTCAAAAATGGATTCAAAAGGCCCAAAACCTTAGGAACTATATTAACCTGGCCAAAAACCTCTAAGGTTAGGCTGAAACGGGCCAAAAACCCTAATCCGGAACATTGGCATGCAAACCGAGGCAGTTTACTTGAACCCGACATTCAAATATCACCAAATTTCATGGTCAACTGGTTTCATCATACTCAACTAGGAACCAGTCCAACTTTCCAAGAACCAGCTCAAAAATCGGTGAACTGGTCACCCAAAGGAATTACACTAAACCAGCTAGTTCACCTCGAATCGGTCACCCAAAATTTTCCGAACCCACTTGGTTTGATAGGTATTTTCTTCCTGAATTCAGAGCCGGTCCAACTTCCCAACTCCGAGTCCGTTTGACCACTGAATTGGCCGGTCAAACTTTGGACCATTTCTGGCCAGTTCAGTCAACTCCTTGAACCTAATCCCCCAATCTTGGACTATGCTATCCCCTGCTATCCCCAATTAACCCCTATACCTGATTTCTTATCCTTCTGGAATAACTTATCCCCAATTTGTATCATGGGTCAACTCGGTTGAGTTGACCCACACTCTTTACTCATTGGGCCGAGTCGATCCAGCGGGTTGACTTAGACCAGCCTCACCTGGGTTGGCCCGCGGCTCAGCTTGCGGGCTTACAACCTTTTCTGGGCTGAGCCCAGCCAACAGGGTGGGCCGGTGTAATGACCAGTTTTCAAATTATTTAAGGTAGAGGACCTAATTGCGGAAATCAAAACCTTGAGGGGCTTAATTAGAAATTGTCAGGGACCAGTTTGAAGAGAAACCAAAGCCGAGGGACTGAGTTGCAATTTGACAGAAATTTCTGTCATGAACAGTGGACCGAACTGTTCTTTGTCGAATCACCCACGTCGTGTGATGATTTCATCCAATTCTCATGCCATTTTGAGTGTTTTTGTAGGCTCTACTAAACCCCTCAACCAATTTATGTCTTCAAGCCAAGAGGAGAGGGGAATTTTGAGTTCTGTCGTTGACGGAAGGGCGGACGGACGAGCAGCTTCTCCGAGCTTTTGCAGGCTTTTCGGTGGATTTTCTTCAGCTTGAGGGTCGGCTGGTTCGGTTTTAGCTTTCGGAAGTGTCGACC